TCCAGGAGAATTAAAGGTGTGATGGTGGTCGTCGTACTAAGATTAAGGAATTATCCAAATCCCTATTTTCCCTGTATACTTTCAAATACAAACAAATAAAAGTAGGTCGAGGAAAGACATTCTGGAGTCACCGAGCGTATTGTCACAATCATGTTGAAGGTCCTTTGCAGACGTCGCTCTTCTCTATCTTATATATGTATATATGATATATATAGTATTGATAGGATATCTATATATATATTATATATATATATATATATATATATATATGTGTGTGTGTGTATGTATATATATATAAAGTAAACTAGGTCTCCCACCTCGTGCGCTTTAAATCTCAGGAGTCACTTACATCATGTGTCCATCTTCGTGTTGGTCGACCTCTACCCCTCCTTCCTGACGCCATGCCTTAGCTATTGACGTGTTCCAATCCGTCAGAAAGCTTGATATGATGAAAATATGCCAGCTTTCGTGACAAGATGCTGTTTATTAGCTAATCTTCGTTGATATTCAGATCTTTTAAAATGTCAATATTCCTGTTCTTCTTTGTCTACGGTATTCTGATAATCTTTGTGTAGCATTTCGCTTCAGAGGCCCCGATTTTGTTACCTAAGAACTAGAAGATAGTAGTCGACTTACATCTGTATGTTGCTACAAGAAAAATGCATGCTCTCAAAATTTGAACTCTGATTTCTTTGCTGGTGCTTAACCACAGACGTTTAGTGGTGTCTAGTCTTTGTACGTAGGTAACTAGAAAATGCAGTCTCTACACAAATCTCCCCATCTCTCTGCCGCTTTTGCCGATACTGACCTCTCACCTCAATAAATTGATCAATCACCAATGACTGATCACTGCGGACAGAGTAGGCTGACCAAGGTCTCCGACTGAAGCCTGGAGGATCGACCGGTCAAGACCACAGCGCCGTAAACATCGACTCCCTCTCCCGAAGCATCCGCGATGATAACCTGTTGGAATAGCAAATCATGCCCCAACTATGAAGTATCGAAGTTAAGAAGAAGCAGAAGGAAAAAAAGATGACAATCAAGAAAGACAAATAGTAGTAGCAGCCGCTGCAGTAGAGAAGGAGGAGGAGGAGGAGGAGGAGGAGGAGGAGGAAGAAGAAGAAGAAGAAGAAGAAGAAGAAGAAGAAGAAGAAAATGATGATGATGATGATGATAAAGAAGAAGAAGAAAAAAGAAGAAGAAAATGATGATGATGATGATGATGATGATAAAGAAGAAGAAGAAGAAGAAGAAGAAAATGATGATGAGGATGATGATGATGATGATGATGATAAAGAAGAAGAAGAAGAGAAGAAAGAAGAAGAAGAAGAAGAAGAAGAAGAAGAAGAAGAAGAAGAAGAAGAAGAAGAAAAGAAGTCAATCTGCAGCCCAAGAGAGGAAATTGAAATTATTTTTTCCTACAACATATCATTGGTTTATCTCTTTGAGACCAGATACATGATTGGAGACATGTCTACGAGACCAGAAAAATGACTGGATACATTTCTTTGAGACCAGCGACATGACTGGATACATTTCTACGAAACGAAAAACATGATTGGATACATTTCTACGAGACCAGACACGTCTGGATACACTTCTGTGAGACAAAGATAATGACTGGACACATCTGACAAATTAGAATCTATTTATAAGTCGACACGAAGAATTCACAAAGTGGTAAAGCAGATAACAATAAGACTAAATAGCAACAAATCGTACCGTGACCCCATTCTCCTTCAGCCGAAACACGTGGGCGCTAAGATCCTCGTCCTCAAGGCCGTATCCATTGGTGATAATCACCGCCACCTTGCCTGCCCCAACTCTACCACCACGTTCCACACCGTAGGCTCCACCCAACAAACGCTGAGGATGCAAAGACACCATACAGAGACCACCCATGTATGTACATAATAAATACATTACAACCATACAGGTACATACGGGTACAGGTGCTTTCCAAAACATAAATGTTGGGACACACAATTAGGACAATCATAATTTTCTGCCACAGTATGTCAGACTACCAGCAGAATGCATGCATAATTTTGTGACACACAAATTCAGCCTGCTGGAGCTACATCGTCTCAGTCATGCTTACCTCAGACAGCTGGAGACAGTGTTCTCCAACCATACCGTCTCGGTCATGCTTACCTCAGACAGCTGGAGACAGTGTTCTCCTACCATACCGTCTCGGTCATGCTTAACTCAGACAGCTCGAGACAGTGTTCTCCAACCATACCGTCTCGGTCATGCTTACCCCAGACAGCTCGAGTCAGTGTTCTCCAACCATACCGTCTCGGTCATGCTTAACTCAGACAGCTGGAGACAGTGTTCTCCAACCATACCGTCTCGGTCATGCTTACCTCAGACAGCTCGGGACAGTGTTCTCCAACCATACCGTCTCGGTCATGCTTACCTCAGACAGCTGGAGACAGTGTTCTCCAACCATACCGTCTCGGTCATGCTTACCCTAGACAGCTCGAGTCAGTGTGCTGCAACCATACTCTCTCAGTCATGCTTACCTCAGACAGCTCGAGTCAGTGTACCGCAACCATACCGTCTCAGTCATGCTTACCTCAGACAGCTCGAGTCAGTGTGCTGCAACCATACTCCCTCAGTCATGCTTACCTCAGACAGCTCAAGAGCGTGTGCTGCAGCCACACCGTCTCAGTCATGCTTACCTCAGACAGCTCAAGAGCGTGTGCTGCAGCCACACCGTCTCAGTCATGCTTACCTCAGACAGCTCGAGACAGTGTATCGCAACCATACTGTCTTAGTCGTGCTTACCTCAGACAGCAGGGACAGTTTACTGGTTTCATACTGTCTCAGCCTGTTTCTGTATTCCTCTACGGTGCTGTAGTCGTCGAGGTCAAATCCCTCGTCATCAGGACAGGATCCCGACACAACGCCAAACTGGGGACAAATATCTGAGTTGAGTACGTGTAGGTCAATAGTGCATCCAGGAATAATGACTACATCGTTCTGTCAATTATACGCTTCTACTAGGAAAATTAAAATTTAAGCAGGCAATGTCTGTGAAAATTAACTCTTATTGATGATCATCTAGAAAGAACCTGTTAAAACTGTTAACATTTTCTGTGAGTGGGGGGGGGGGGGGGGAATTGTAACTGGCTCATAGAGCATGCTGAGAAAGGTGAAAACAGGCATGCTTTATGCAGAGTGACAAACATCACTTCAGAGGTCCAGGGTAGATAGCATTCTTTGGATATTTTTTCCAGGTAATGCTGGTGTGTTGGGATATGAGCAGGCAGACAGACTGACTAGCTCTGCACCATTTGATGGTGAATGATATATGACAAGTTAAATATTCTGAGGGCCCTCTATGAACAAATGAGCAGTGCGGAGGCGAAGATAGATCATTACTGAATGAGAAGAATGGCGCTACGAGGAGTTACCAGGGAATCTGACCCACGCTTAACACTCAGGGGAATGATGAGACGGATATACGATCAGATTGTTACTGGCACTATCAGAATTGTAACTCTTCGCTTGCTGCTGAAGATGGGCACTGAGCACTTATGGGAGTTTCCTGAGTGCTTTGATGTCGATTCTTAATTCAACATTCAGCACTGGCTGACAACAATTTAGGTCACGCTATTCTATCCCATATGACATCGTTAAGACAGAACGTGCTTATTTCATGTTGTCACTTTGAGGGGTCACTACACGGCGTTTTTTTCCAATTTATGACAAAAATATCACTTTTTCAATGTGTTCGTTTTTGTAAAGTTAGGCATTCATAGAATAGATTACACACAAAATTTGTGTCATTTGTAAACAATTTAGCATTGAAAAGTTAACACTAATGCACTTTTTAAGATTTAAAAAAAAAAAAGTTTAAAAGTCAGTTTTCTCACATCTCTATATTTCTGTTTGTTGTTGTGTGTGAAATCCTAAAGTCTCAGCTACTAGAAAGACTAGAAAGAAGACATTCAGTATGAATACTCCTAAACCAATATTATAGGGACTGGTTATTTTAAAAGTAGATTTTAACAAGTTCTTGTTTTTTAAAATTTGATTATTTTCTTATGATGCAATATTTTTTTGACTTTTTCGATAAACCTACATTTTAAAATTCTACGACAAAAATTTAAAAACATGTTGAAAGTAGTTAAACTAAACCTGTACCTCTAAATAGAATAAAAAGTCATGAATCTATCATCTATTGGTTAATACGTTTGATTGTTTTTGATATTTTAGGATTCTAACTACATGTTGTTCCCCCCTCCCCCTCCCAGATGGCGGCTATTGCCATGAAAACCATGATTTTTTCACACTTGAAGTATGCAAATGTAATAACATGTATCCCTTCAAATGACCATTATAAAATAATTGCTCTAACACTGTAAAAAAAAAATTGTTGGCGTAGTGACCCCTTAAGAAACTCGCAAACAAACAACGGTTACACCGACCCGGAAGCCAACATCCAGGTCTTTCCCACTGATTGTGTTGGAGATGAAGGATGTGGCCCAGGCTGTAGCCTCTACTCCAAGCTCAGCGGGGCTGAAGGCGAAGTAGACATCGGTGGGGTTGATCTCACCACATTCTGCAAGAAAACAGTTGACAATAACATCAACATCATCGTCGCCATTATCAGGATTATTATTATGCTTTTCCTCCCCGTTCCATTCTTCCGCCTGCTCATTCTCATCGTCATTCATTGTCATTGCCATTCATCATTATCACCACCACGATCATCATTTTCATTCTTCATCGTCACCACCACGATCACCATCATCATCATCGTCACCACCACCACCACCACCATCATCATCATCATCATCACCACCGATATCATCATTGTCACCACCATCATCATCATCACCACCACCATCATCATCATTGTCACCGCCATCATCACCATCGATATTATCATTGTCACCACCATCATCATCATCGTCACCACCACCAACATTATTATCATCATCACAGCCGCCATCATCATTGTCACCATCATCATCATCATCATCATAACACCGCCATCATCATTGTCACCACCAACATCACCATCATCATCATCGTCACCACCATCATCATCATCATCATCACCAACGCCATCATCATCATCGTCACCACCACGATCACCATCATCATTATCATCGTCACGACCATCACCATCATCATCATCTTCTCCACCCCGATCACCCTCATCACTATCATCGTCACGACCATCACCAACATCATCATCATCGTCACCACCACCATCATCATCATCGTCAGCACCAACATCATTATCATAGTCACGACCATCACCACCATCATCATCGTCATCACCACCACCATCATCATCATCGTCAGCACCACCGTCATCATCATCACCACCGCCATCATCATCATCACCATCGCCATTATCATCATCACCACCGCCATTATCATCATCACCACCACCATCATCGTCACCACAACCATCATCGTCACCACAACCATCATCGTCCACCACCACCACCACCACCACCAGTGTCACCAACACCATCGTTATCATCACCACCACCATTATCATCATCACCACCACCAGCATCATCATCATTGTCACCACCACCATCATCATCATCATAACACCGCCATCATCATTGTCACCACCAACATCACCATCATCATTATCATCATCACCACCATCATCATCATCCTCATCATCACCACCGCCATCATCAACATCGTCACCACCACGATCACCATCATCATTATCATCGTCACGACCATCACCACCATCATCATCATCTTCACCACCTCGATCACCCTCATCACTATCATCGTCACGACCATCACCAACATCATCATCATCGTCACCACCACCATCATCATCATTGTCAGCACCACCATCATTATCATCGTCACGACCATCACCACCATCATCAGCGTCATCACCACCATCATCATCATTGTCAGCACCACCATCATTATCATCGTCACGACCATCACCACCATCATCAGCGTCATCACCACCACCACCATCATCATCATCATCGTCAGCACCACCGTCATCATCATCACCACCGCCATCATCATAATCACCATCGCCATTATCATCATCACCACCGCCATTATCATCATCACCACCACAATCATCGTCACCACAACCAACATCGTCACCACAACCATCATCGTCCACCACCACCACCACCACCATTGTCACCAACACCATCGTTATCATCATCGTCACCACCACGATCACCATCATCATTATCATCGTAACAACCATCACCACCATCATCATCGTCGTCACCACCACCACCATCATCATCCTCGTCAGCACACCGTCATCATCATCACCACCGCTATCATCATCATAACCACCGCCATTATCATCATCACTGCCGCCATTATCATCATCACCACCACCATCATCGTCACCACAACCATCATCGTCACCACAACCATCATCGTCCACCACCACCACCACCACCACCACCATTGTCACCAACACCATCGTTATCATCACCACCACCATCATCATCATCTTCACCATCGCCATCATCATTGTTACCACCATCATCGTCACCACCACCATTATCATCATCACCACCACCAGCATCATCATCGTCACCACCACCATCACCATCATCGTCACCACCACGATCACCCTCATCATTATGATCATCACCACCATTATCATCATCGTCACCACCACCATCATCATCATCGTCAGCACCACCATCATTATCATCTTCAGGACCATCACTACCATCATCATCATCGTCACCACCACCACCATCATTATCGTCACCACCACCATCATTATCGTCACCACCACCATCATCATCATCATCACCACCGCCATTATCATCACCACCACCACCATCATCATCATCACCACTGCCATTATCATCATCACCACCGCCATTATCATCGTCACCACAACCATCATCGTCACCACAACAATCATCGTCTACCACCACCATTGTCACCAACACCATCGTTATCGTCACCACCACTATCATCATCTTCACCATCGCCATCATCATTATCGTCACCACCACTACCATCATCATCATCGGCATTACCAAAACCACCACTACCACCATCATCATAACCACAACTACCACCATCACCACTATCATCGTCACCACCACCATCATCATCTTCACCACCACCATCATCATCATCACTATTATCATCGTCTCCACAACCATCAGCATCATCGTCACGACCACAACCATCACCACCACCACTATCATCACCACTATCACCACCACCACCATCATCATCATCACCACTACCATCATCATATTACCATCATCATCAATATCAATATAATCCAGTGTACCTTTATAATCGTCTTGGGCAGAATCAGGAATTTAGTCCAGTGCTTTTTGCCCTCTCTCATCGTCCATTTTAGGGTTTCTCTTGAAGTTCTCATTTCCTCATTCCAATGGTTTTACTTGTTAGTACTTTTTGTACGATCCTCTCTCCGCTTCTCTTTAAGATGAAGTACAATATTTTTGTCATCTTTCTTGTTTTTTTCTTCTTCGTTTAGCATGACGAATTTTCACATGGCTACTGAAGAAGGGGATGGAGCACGTATGGGAATGTCCGTAGTGCAGTGATGCAATTCTTGATTCATTCACACAGTTTTTCCTTTCATAATTTGTGACACAAAAAGTTATCTTTATTCGTGGATTCATTCATTTAGTTTTCACCAGTTTCTTTAAGCATTCGCTTTTGATTGCTTTTAACTTTCTTTCCATGTCTTTGATGGCTTTCCAACTTTTACTGGCAATAGTTAAAATTAAAATAACTTTAAAATATAGGCAACTTGACTTGTAGCATACTCACAACCATGCGGATTTAGTAAAGCAAGAAATCATAGAGGAAAACTAAGAGAGAAAAAAAATACAATAGGGAGGAGAGAAAACTTACTCTGTGTCTTGGGCGGAGGCGTTGTTGTTGGCTTCTCTTTTTCTGTGGAAGGAAGAGAAACACTGATTTTTGTTTTGAACTCAAAACCTTTAATCTGGAATATAGTTTGTTTCAAAAGTTGAGTCCCGACATTTTAATAAATTTCTCCAAAACTCCTGAATTTTTGCTTTTGGGCATAGATTTACCACATCCATATGATTTTAAAGTCTACAACTGTACAGGTGCTGCTTTTTTTATTAACATTTCAAATTTCTGTAATCTTTGTTTGAATAATAGTTTTTCTACTACTAAAAAAAAAAAAAAAAAAAAAAAAAAAAAAAAAAAAAAAAAAAAAAAAAAAAAAAAAGAATATACAGTCATTGACGCAAACGTGAAGACTTTTTAAAAATTGGTTCACATGTTGAGCGATTATTTTGATAGCCTGTACCGTGTGAAATGAAAAATTGAGTTAATCTAGATCATGGAGGGAAAAGCTTGGTATGAACACCCGAGAGTGAAACGCATGCAATTTGATATTTTTAAAAGATCCTGTTATTCAGTGAAGTTTGAAATTTAAAGTTTGAACAACGGATCAACATCATGACACACGGGTAGTAACTTATAAGTGCTCCGTTTTTCTTCTAACTCACGTATGAGTCCGAAGAAGCTCAGCACAGTGCACAAGCTCTGTAGCACCGGCGAGGGTCCTAAAGTACTTTACGTAGATTTTTAACTCCAAATTTTGTCCAGGAAGCTCCGTTGGGCTACTCTTTTCGATTTCCAACTAGCAGGGGATTTGTTACGTGCGCAGCAATGCACACGAACGTCCGATCTTACTACCCAGAGGCCAGGGGGGAATTACTAGAAGTCCAAGTCCTCGTGAAAAAATCCTAGCACTTATCGGGGATTGAACCCGGAGACTCCAGCACTCGAGGCAGACACGATGCCTCGAGATGACGCAGCACCCTGTTATTTAGTTAAATGTAAGAAATCTGACTGTTGCTTCGAATGTGTGTCTGTTTATTTCCTTTATATACCGCAAATAAAGCAAACTGAAAACAAGATGTTTGTTTGCATATATAAAACAAATAGCCACAAAGACATTGTTATTGAAAGGTTGTATGCTAAATTTAAACAGCTAACGCTGAGAAGTTACTGAATTACAGATTTTTATAATAAGGGCACGACTTCTGAAACGGGCTATAGTTTGGCTATTTCCGCTCATCGTCCTTCACCTCAGCCTTTAACCTGTCTTTGATTGACCTTTTACCTGTCGTTCATTTTCATATTCACAGGGCATAGCCGTCGTCCATGCGAGTTAGAGCTATTTTCTACAGAGGATTTTTTTCCGACTTTTCTAACTTGTGTTTTGTAGCATGAACATACTGACACCCAATGAAGATTCTTGTGTGTTAAAATTGTTTACTATTTGTTTTCCACGTAGGATTTTCTAATTACATCTCTACTGCATTAGATAACTCTACATCAAAATAAGCCAACTGAATTAACCTTCTGGGGTCTTCCAGAAAGCGAATACTACTGCGCTGTCTTTTTTAAAAGGGCACGCCAGCAAATACTACATCAGATACTATTTATAGATTATTCATTTGCAAATCTTTCTGCTAATAAACAAGTGATGATTCTAGAAAGGGAACGTCAGGATTGCTGAGACGTGTTGATTTCGGTTTCTTCAACTTATACGAAATATCCTATTTACTAACAAACAAGTGATTACGTTTCCCTGTTACAGTACAAGCTATCTCTTTTTAGTTAGTAAAAGAGTTCCGACAGCCGAAGTCACATTGAGATAGAGAGCAACTTACATATGAGCCTGAAACTGAAGTCAAGTTTAGTCACGGAGCAAGTGAACGATAAACTCAACAGTCAAAGTCCTGTTCAGTCAAAGAGAATGTCAACAATTAGCCCAACAGTCAAAGTCACGTTCATTCAGGGAGCAAGTCAACGATGGGCCCAACAGTCAAAGTCATGTTGTGTCAAGGAGCAAGTCAACGATTGGCCCAACAGTCAAAGTCATGTTGTGTCAAGGAGCAAGTCAACGATGGGCCCAACAGTCAAGGTCATGTTGTGTCAAAGAGCATGTCAACAATTAGCCCAACAGTCAAAGTCACGTTCAGTCAGGGAGTAAGTCAACGATGGGCCCAACAGTCAAAGTCATGTTGTGTCAAGGAGCAAGTCAACGATGGGCCCAACAGTCAAAGTCATGTTGTGTCAAGGAGCAATTCAACGATGGGCCCAACAGTCAAAGTCACGTTCATTCAGGGAGCAAGTCAATGATAGGCCCAACAGTCAAAGTCACGTTCAGTCAAGGAGCATGTCAACAATTAGCCCAACAGTCAAAGTCCCGTTCAGTCAAGGAGCAAGTCAAAAATTAGCCCAACAGTCAAAGTAACGTTCAGTCAAGGAGCATGTCAACAATTAGCCCAACAGTCAAAGTCACGTTCAGTCAAAGAGCATGTCAACAATTAGCCCAACAGTCAAAGTCACGTTCAGTCAGGGAGCAAGTCAATAATAGGCCCAACAGTCAAAGTCATGTTGTGTCAAAGAGCAAGTCAACGATGGGCCCAACAGTCAAAGTCATGTTGTGTCAAGGAGCAAGTCAACGATGGGCCTAACAGTCAAAGTCACGTTCAGTCAAAGAGCATGTCAACAATTAGCCCAACAGTCAAAGTCATGTTGTGTCAAGGAGCAAGTCAATAATAGGCCCAACAGTCAAAGTCATGTTGTGTCAAAGAACAAGTCAACGATGGGCCCAACAGTCAAAGTCATGTTGTGTCAAGGAGCAAGTCAACGATGGGCCTAACAGTCAAAGTCACGTTCAGTCAAAGAGCATGTCAACAATTAGCCCAACAGTCAAAGTCATGTTGTGTCAAGGAGCAAGTCAACGATGGGCCCAACAGTCAAAGTCCCGTTCTGTCAAGGAGCAAGTTATCGATGGGCCCAACAGTCAAAGTCCCGTTCTGTCAAGGAGCAAGTTAACGATGAGTCCAACAGTCAAAGTCACGTTTTGTCAAGGAGCAAGTCAACGATGGGCCCAACAGTCAAAGTCACGTTTTGTCAAGGAGCAAGTTAACGATGGGACCATCTGTCAAAGTCACATTTTGTCGAGGAGCAAGTTAACGATGGGCCCAACAGTCAAAATCACGTTTTGTCAAAGAGCAAGTTAACGATGGGCCTAACAGTCAAAGTCATGTTGTGTCAAGGAGCAAGTTAACGATGAGCCCAACAGTCAAAGTCACGTTCAGTCAAGGAGCAAGTCAACGATGGGCCCAACAGTCAAAGAACCGTTCTGTCAGGGATCAAGTTAACGATGGGCCCAACAGTCGAAGTCACGTTTTGTCAAGGAGCAAGACAACGATGGGCCCAACAGTCAAAGTCACGTTTTGTCAAGGAGCAAGTTAACGATGGGCCCAACAGTCAAAGTCACGTTTTGTCAAGGAGCAAGTCAACGATGGGCCCAACAGTCAAAGTCCCGTTCTGTCAAGGAGCAAGTTAACGATGGGCCCAACAGTCAAAGTCCCGTTCTGTCAAGGAGCTAATTATTGACGGGCCCAACAGTCAAAGTCACGTTCAGTCAAGGAGCAAGTCATCGATGAGCCCAACAGTCAAAGTCACGTTCAGTCAAGGAGCAAGTTAACGATGAGCCCAACAGTCAAAGTCCCGTTCTGTCAAGGAGCAAGTTAACGATGAGCCCAACAGTCCAAGTCCCGTTCAGTCAAGGAGCAAGTTAACGATGGGCCCAACAGTCAAAGTTCCGTTCTCTCAAGGAGCAAGTTAACGATGAGCTTAATAGTCAAAGTCCCGTTCTGTCAAGGAGCAAGTTAACGATGAGTCCAACAGTCAAAGTCACGTTCAGTCAAGGAGCAAGTTAACGATGGGCCCAACAGTCAAAGTTCCGTTCTGTCAAGGAGCAAGTTAACGATGAGCCCAACAGTCAAAGTCACGTTCAGTCAAGGAGCAAGTTAACGATGGGCCCAACAGTCAAAGTTCCGTTCTGTCAAGGAGCAAGTTAACGATGAACCCAACAGTCAAAGTTCCGTTCTGTCAAGGAGGAAGTCAACGATAGGCCCAGCAGCTGAAATCAACTTCATTCACATAGAAACTCACCAATGCAAGTCTTCCTGGCCAGTATTTCCTTGATGGAGTCCAGCTGGTCGTAGTTCTTCACTTTGGTCACCCTTGACTGGTCACCAGCGATGTTCAACAGTTCCTCGTCTCTGACTCCCTCACCCACACCGATTGCAAAGATGATGATCCCGTCATTTCTCGCTTCCTCGGCTGCCTTTTTGGTCAGTCTCCACCTAAAGAAGAGATAATGAGAAGTCAAGAAATATCACAAGCGACACATAAGTGCCATACATGAGAAATGGGCTGGAGGAAGGAACTAACGAACGAAAGAACGAACGAAAGAAAGAACGAATGAATTTTTTTAAGAATTCGGGCACGTAGGCCTGTCTTTTATTCTGTCCTTAAAGCCCCACTGCTTACATACATTTCTTTAATAACAAATAAGTTAGCATAAACAAAATACACATCGCCAGCAGCAGATTTTTTTTTTGTTACAGTTGCCGGAATATGCTCTAAGTGTACATATATTTGTACAAAGAAATAATACTATGCACAGTAGGTGTATTGAATCAAGGCGAGAAAACACAATATATTAAAAACTATTATCTGTGACGGGTGCCAGATAGTTTGTAAGTACGCCTTTGGGCGTAAAGGGCTAGACCTGTATTTTATAGACCAATCGGCACAAGATGGGTGATGTAGTCAGCATTACGCCGGCCGCCTTTACTTTCCAGGACTGCACCCGGTACCCACTCAAGGCTGGGTCGACCTGGGAGTCAAGGTCATTTTTGAAAAAAAGTCTGACTCCGCCAAGGAGCGAACCCACGACCTTCAGATCCGCACGCGAGCTTCTAGCCGCTACGCCACGGCGACTCCCCGGCAATAATATGTGCTGAGATAATTTTTTAATTGCTTCTGATTGCATGTATAGGAATTACTGATTTTTTAAAATTGCCTGTCGAAATTGGTCCCATAATTTTACAGAAGAGCATCTTGGAGGAAAGCGAGAGGAAGACCAAGAAACAGATGGATAAATAATATAGCTGAAAACTGCCAAATGATGAACAAATATATCATCCAAGCCACCCGAGAACACAGAAAACCACGACACTGGGCTTATTCTGTCGACAAAAGAAGAAGAAGAAGACGATGAGCTGAGGAGTAAGCCAAGCTTGTTTTGTACAGGTTTACCCTGGGTTTTGAACATAGAAATTTACAGGCTGTGTGTCCGCATCATAATGCATCCGGTCCTTTACAGAAGGTCGCTCCCATGTGACACAGACCATCTAAAAGAAAGAAAAAAACTCGGTTCCTCGCCGGCTTTCCTGTCCCATGCTTTTTCCTGCCTAAGACGGCTCGTATGTCCAGTTCCCATCTCTGTACTAGTCGAACCCTGCCTCTCTTACCTAGTACCAATCCCTATGCTACTGTTCTTTCTAGCCAACTGTAGCGTTTAATATAATAAAATATACTTCAGCTTTCGAGACAGAGAGTGAGAAGGAGAGGGAGAGAGGACCAGTAACGGAGAAAGATAGAGAGGGAGAGAGAGGAAGAGAGACGGAGAGGGACAGGAAGAGGGAGAAAGAGAGGAAGAGTGACGGAGAGAGAAAGAGAGAGAGAGGGAGAGGAAGAGTGACGGAGAGAAAGAGAGAGAGGCAGAGAGAGGGAGGGAGAGGCAGAGAGATGGGAAAAGAGACAGAGTCACGGAGAGAGAAAGAGAGAGAGGGGGAGAGAAAAAGAGAAAGGTAGAGTGACAGAGAGAGAAAGAAAGTGAGGGAGAGAAAATGAGAAGGGGAATGAGACCGAGAGAACAAATAGAGAGGTTGACAACGAGACAGATGCAAAAAAAAGATATATTCACAGATAAACACACCCACACACACGTACAGAAAGAGAGAGAGAGAGAGAAAGAGAGAGAGAAAGAGAGAGAGGGGGAAGAAAGAGAAAGAGAGACACAGAGAGAGACAGAACGACATCAACCACCAGTCATACACAGAAAACCCCTTGGACTTACTGCTGCGAGTTGCCATCTGTGATGACAACACTAATTTTCTCCGCCCATGGCCGAACCACACCCTTGGCCAGCTGCACCTCGTGCATGTACTGGATGGCCTTGCCCGTGTCCGTGTAGAGTCCAGCTCGGTGAGGGATTCGCCGGACCGCTGCCAGGACCTCCTCTAGGGTGTTATAGGTAGTTAGATCAAAGCCATCCTGAGATCAAAAGGCAACTTTTCAAATTATTTCTCTAGTCTGTTTCAAAACAATTTAAAATAAAATAATAAATTATAAATTAGACGTTCTAACATCTTCTTCCTCAATGTTGGGAAATGAGCAGGCAGATATACTGGGCTCTTTGGGAGTGAGTAAACAGTGCAGAGGCGCAGATAGAACCGTACGAGCCTAGGAGAATGGCGCTGCAAGGAGTTACCAGGGGATCTGACTGACACTCAATGAAAAGGCCACCCGGATATACAACCAGACAGTTACTGGTACCATCGGAAGTGAAACTCTCCACTTACTGCTGAATATGGGGACGGAGCGCTTATAAGAGTGTCCCAAGTACTGGGATGTCTATTCTTCATTCAACATTCAACAAAATAGGCTTTTGTCTGTAAGACGGACAAAGTGGGACCACCTGTGATAGACCGACTTCAGACTGAAACCCAACAAATGTTAGATGGACCACAGAATAAGACCCCTAATGTTAGATGAACCATAGACCAAGATCCACATGTTAAATAGACCTCAGACCAAGATCGACATGCTAAATGGACCTGAGACCAAGATCTTTTTGTTAAATGGACCTGAGACCAAGATCCGCGGCTTAAATGGATCTGCGACTAAGATCCACATGTTAAATTGACCTGAGACCAAGATCCATGTGTTAAATGGACCTGAGACCAAGATCCACATGTTAAATGGACCTGAGACCAAGATCCATGTATTGAATGGATCTGAGACCAAGATCCACGTGTTAAATGGACCTGAGACCAAGATCCGTGTGTTAAATGGATCTCAGAATAAGATTCCTTCTGTTAGGTTTAATATACCACGTGTTTAATGAAGTGGAAAGAACTTAAATATCCCAAAAGACAACAGTTTTTAGGAAAAGACATTTTGGACTGACCTCGGGGTAGATCCCCTTGCCATACGTGATAATAGAAACTCGAACTCCCTCCTGCCCCGATCCTATGTCGAAATGTTTGAGGTAATCTTCGAGGAAAGCTTTGGCCGTCTGGAAGTCTCTCGGGTGGATAGAGCTGGACGAGTCAAGCACGATTCCGATCTCCAAAGGAGCTTGTTTGCAGACTGAGGGTTTTGGACAATGTACAGTAAGGATCAAAAATAATCGTGGGCTTGTTGGTTGCAGATATGGGGATGGTGGATGTCTTGTTTGGAGATATAGAGGATATGTTGAGTGTGTTGTTTAAATATATAGAGGAGTTTGTATATTAAATATATAAGGAGAGGAAATGTTGGATGTATAGCTGATATATATATATATTTATAGCGGAGATGTTGGATATGTTGTTTGAATATATAGATGAGATGTTGAATGGGTAGGATCAAGATATAGAGGAAAGAGTTGTGTTGTTTACGGATAATGAGGAGATGTTGGATGTGTAGTTTAGAGATATAGAGAAGACACTGGATGTATAGTTTAGAGATATAGAGGGGATGTTGGATGTGTAGTTTAGAGCTATAGAGGATATGTTGGATGTGTTAGGTAAAGATATAGAGGAAATATTGGATGTGTAGGCTAGGGGTCTAGAGGAAATGTTGGATGTATTGTTTGGAGATGTGAAGGAAATATTGGATATGTTGTTAAGTGTTATCGATGGAATATTGGATGTGTAGGCTACAGGTATAGAGGAGATATTGGATGTGTAGTTTAGATGAATAGAGGATATTTTGGATGCGTAGTTTATAAAAATAGAAGATATGTTGGATGGGTTGTCTGGAGATATGGAGGAGATATTAGATGTGTTATTAAAAGGACATCGAGTGCACACTAGTGATGTTGAGACAGTGTTAGATTTCCAGGCCAGACAGACGATGTTGGGTATTGATAAGAAAATGTGCAGACAGGAGAACACAAGTAAACAATTGTGTGGTGTGCAGTGCATGTAGATCTGAGCCCTGTGGTAGAACACACGTCACGTAAACAATTGTGTGGTGTGCAGTGCATGTAGATCTGAGCCCTGTGGTGGAACACTCCTCACGTAAACAATTGTGTGGTGTGCAGTGCATGTAGATCTCAGTCTTCTGGTGGTAAAAACATTTCGTGAACATTAGATCCACACACGTTTAGATGGAGAGAAAGGGAGAAAGAGAGAGACAGACACAGAAAGAGAAAAAATAGAGAAAGAAGAAGAGAATAATGAGAGGCAAAAAGAAAGAACATTGGAGAGAAAAAAAGAGAGACACAAAAAGAGAAACACAAAAAAGAGAGAACAATGAGACACTGAGAAAATATGAAAGAGACGCAGAGACAGGGAGTGAAATAAAATAAGAGAGAGAAGAGAGAGAGACAAAAAAAATAAGAGAAAGGAGGATGAGAAAAAAAGGAGAAAAAAGAGACAAGAGAGAGGTGAGATATAATAATAGAAAAAAGAGAGAAGAGAGAGAGGGAGAGAGAGAGAAACTAAGAAAAGATAAGAAAAAAGATTAGAGAAGAAATAGAGAAAAAAAAAGACACAGAATGAGACAAATAATAGTTGTGAAATTAAACAAAAATTCAGTCGTTAGAGGGGATTAAAAAAAAAAGTACAAAGACACAAACCATTGAGAAAACTAGACATTTATGAGACATAGCAAACACATGACAAACACATAAAAAAACACATGACAAACCGATAACAAACACATGACAAACAGATAACAAACACATGACAAACACAAGGAGACTAGACAATGATACTTTAGACAATACTGCCGAAACACATGGTTTTCTTGAGTGACCTTTAATATGAGTTCCAGTGTCTATGACAATCTCCCGTTTGTAAAAGCCCTCTAAGAAACATTCTGAAATTAGTCATTAACAATAGATCAGAGACCAGACCATAACTGACATTAGAACATTGTATCTATCTTTGACAGATAATATTAGGTTTATTTGTCTCACTGAAATAGTAACCAATATATTCTTGACTGGATGAAATAATAATTTTTGGACTATTTGTTTTCGTTATTATCAACATAATCATCATCGTATGTTAAATCGTCATCAAATATGTTCTTGACTGGTTGAAATGCTAATACTTGGACTATTATTTTTTTTTTTTTTTTAAGGTAAAGTCGGGAGATGTGAACAAGCGTCATTGCACACTGTTATAAACCATAAGTGCTCTGCTACAAGTACGGACAGCTGATAAGAATTGTCCGCCTGTGTCGCCGTTCGCACATTACTCTGTAGCTACAGCGACGTTCCTCCATTTACCCCAGAGTGTCAACTCTGGTACCTATTTCCTAGAGGCTGGGTGAACCCCGGAAGCCACCCGGTTTCGAACCCCGGCTAAAAATAAATTATTTCTAAAAAGGAGTCGTCGTGGCGTAGCGGCTAGACGCTCTCGTAAGGATCGGAAGGTCGTGGGTTCGCTCCCTGGCAGAGCCGGATTGTTTTTCAAAAATGACCTTACCTCCAGGTCTACCCAGCCTTGAATGGGTACCGGGTGCAGTCCCGGGAAGTAAAGGCGGCCGGTGTGATACTGACCACATCAGCCATCTTGTGCCGATTGGTCTAAAAAATATAGGACTAGCCCTATATGCCCTATATGCCCTGAAGGCGTGAAAAAAGACCTTTACTTTACTCTTCTCGGTTACTGTGAAAGCCGCCATACTGTGAAAGTAAGTCGTCATACTGTGAAAGTCGTCATACTGTGAAAGTCGTCATACTGTGAAAGTCGTCATACTATGAAAGTCGTCATACTGTGAAAGTCGTCATACTGAGAAAGTCGTCGTCATACTGTGAAAGTCGTCATACTGTGAAAGTCGTCGTCATACTGTGAAAGTCGTCATACTGTGAAAGTCGTCATACTGTGAAAGTCGTCATACTGTGAAAGTCGTCGTCATACTGTGAAAGTCGTCATACTGTGAAAGTCGTCATACTGTGAAAGTCGTCATACTGTGAAAGTCGTCATACTGTGAAAGTCGTCGTCATACTGTGAAAGTTGTCATACTGTGAAAGTCGTCATACTGTGAAAGTCGTCATACTGTGAAAGTCGTCATACTGTGAAAGTCGTCATACTGTGCAAGTCGTCGTCATACTGTGAAAGTTGTCATACTGTGAAAGTCGTCATACTGTGAAAGTCGTCATACTGTGAAAGTCGTCATACTGTGAAAGTCGTCATACTGTGCAAGTCGTCGTCATACTGTGAAAGTCGTCATACTGTGAAAGTCGTCATACTGTGCAAGTCGTCGTCATACTGTGAAAGTCGTCATACTGTGAAAGTCGTCATACTGTGAAAGTCGTCATACTGTGCAAGTCGTCGTCATACTGTGAAAGTCGTCATACTGTGAAAGTCGTCATACTGTGAAAGTCGTCATACTGTGCAAGTCGTCGTCATACTGTGAAAGTCGTCATACTGTGAAAGTCGTCGTCATACTGTGAAAGTCGTCATACTGTGAAAGTCGTCATACTGTGAAAGTCGTCATACTGTGAAAGTCGTCATACTGTGAAAGTCGTCATACTGTGAAAGTCGTCATACTGTGAAAGTCGTCATACTGTGCAAGTCGTCATACTGTGAAAGCCGCCATACAGCGGTGAATACACTTTCGCCCACAGCACCTGCAGACTAGATACAGTAACAGTTGTAAGATCATGCATCTTTACTTCCCGGGACTGCACCCGGTACCCACTTAAGGCTGGGTCGACCTAGGAGTCAAGGTAAATTTTTTTAAACGTCAGGATGTCCAATTATGTCATTATCCAACAATCTGATCTCTCCCTCTCCCTCTACACGCACACACACACACACACTCACACTCACACACACACACTCATGCAAATACTCCCAGACACGCAAAAACACATAGGCAAAGCACAAACACACACACATACAACACACTCTCTCCCCTTGCTTCTTTATCTGTAGTCAGGGTATGTATATTTTTACTCTATCCGTGTCTCAGTTTGATCTTTTTCGTTGTCAGTCGACCTCTCTCCCTCCCTCCCTCTCTATATCTCTCCCCATCTCCCTCTCTATATCTCTCCCCCATCTCCCTCTCTAAACTACAAACACTCACCAGTGACTGAAGGAAATGCCTGAAACACAAAAATATAATTTACATGTTTGTATACATCAAAATATTAGGTTTGCTGTGTCGATGGATAATAAATTTCGTGAAATGTTTTTGATAAGAACACGCTAACTTATACTATGACTGTGATAACTATTGATCTTATACTAAATGACTGTAAGAACTATTGATCGTATGCTAAGATGACTGTGAGAGCAATTGGTGTTATAGTAATATGACTGTGAGAGCAATTGATGTTATAGTAATATGACTGTGAGAGCAATTGGTGTTATAGTAATATGACTGTGAGAGCAATTGATGTTATAATAATATGACTGTGAGAGCAATTGGTCTCACACTTATGTGTCTGTGAGAATAGTTGAGCTAATTCTAACTGACTTGCAGAACTATTGATCTCATATTAATAGTGTATGCTAATATAACTGTGATAACAATTGATATTATACTCAATGACGGTAAGAACTATTGATCGTATGCTAGTATGACTGCGATAACTATTGATCATCTAATAAATGGCGATTACATCTATTATCTTTCATCAACATGACTGACAATTATTGATCTTATACTAATATGAACCGTGAGAGCAATTGGTGTTATAGTAATATGACTGTTAGAGCAATTGGTTGAGCAATAGTTGAGCCAATACTAATATGACTTGCAGAACTAATGATCTCATATCAATATGAACGTGTGAACTAATATGACTGTAAAAACTATTTATCTCCTACTAATATGACTGTGAGAACTGTTGATCGCATACTAACATGAATGTGAGATCTTTCCATCTCATACTAACATGTCCTTGAGAACTATTGACATAATACTAATATGAACCCTGAGGGGCATTGATGTTATATTAATTTGACTGTGAGAACTATTACTCTCATACTAATATGACTGTGAGAACTATTGATCTCATACTGATATGACTGTAAGAACTATTGATCTCATACTAATATGACTGCGAGAACTATTAATCTCATACTAATATGACTGTGATAACTATTGATCTAAACTGAAAGAACTGAGAACTATTGATCGTAATCTGACATTACTGGCTCCACTAGGAACCCGTGCTCGGTGAAATCCACACTGTGCCCTGTTGAGAATGTGAGCAGTTGGGCATGTCAAAAGGATTACTAGCTACTGCTTTTTCACGGCTCCCACAAGACATACAAACAGACATACACACCTGGAGACAAACTGCTAGCACTAAGAACTTGAGCATTGTCGCGGACTGAGTAGAAGACAAAAGTGATCAGTCTTGTTTCTAGTCGGGGTTGCTTTGAGTTTGTTTGCTTGTACTATTCTCTTTGTGGGGATTTCCAGACGCTTGATCAGAAAAACACATAGAACATGATATTACACATGGTAAGCACACGTTTCATTTTATCATTTATATTATGAGATTATCATCATAATCGTCGTCATTATGTGCCGTGCTGTTACGCGTATGATGTCATGTTTCGATCTGGTCAGTGTGTTCTTGGCCACAAGGTCAAGCCATGCAGTCAGGATGGAGGCAGTCACTGCTGTCTTCCGCTGGCTTGAGAATCAGCTGTACACACATGTAACTGACTCACAGAGCATGTTGAGAAAGGTGGAGACAGGCATGCTTAGTGCGGAGTGGCAAGCATCACTTCAGAGGTCCAGCGTAGTTTGCATCCTTTGGATATTTTCTCCAGGGTATGCCGATGTTTCGGGAAATGAGCACGCAGGTAGACTGGCTGGCTCTGCACGTCTTAGTGGTGAATTGATGTATGACAAGTTATATATTGTGAGGGCCCTTTGGGAGCGAGTGAACAGTGCGTATGCGTTGATAGATCATTTCGGTTTAAAGAGAATGGTGTTGCGAGGAGTTACCAGGGGATCTGGCCGATGCTCAACACTTAGGGAAAGGATTAGACGGATATACAATCAGACGGTCACTGGTACCATCGGAATTGGAACTCTTTGCTTGCTGCTGAAGATGGGGACTGAGCACTTATGGAAGTGTCTAGAGTACTGTGATGTCGATTCCTTATTCAACATTCAAGCCATGCAGGTATTTATTTCTCTGTCTTCCCCTGTGCCCTGTAACCGCTAATCTTGCCAGTTGTCACAAAGTTCTCGAGTCCACTTCTTCTCAAAACAGGTCAGAAAACATCAAATGCTAAAAAAAAAACTGTCAATTACTTACTGCCTTTACTATACCACTTTTGCTCTATAGGCAGAGAAAAAGAGGAAGGGGGGGGGGGGGGTCTTTGCGCCTGAGGATTTACGGCCGCATGGCTAGCGCTGTCGCCACGACTGTGCAGGTGAGGAGTTTAGTTGGCCCTTTACAGAAAAAAAAAAAATCCGCAGCCTTACCGGTTTTAAATTGCATATGCATCTATTTTACACATTAATCAAAACTGAAAATAAATCTAATGTTGCCTATATTGTTCAAAGGTCTGCATATTTGTATGTGAACAATTTTAAATATAAATCTATTTGATACCTAAATCTGTAAACTTCAAATATATTATGTAAACCAAGTTGCATATAAATCTATGTTAAACATAAATAATGTAAATCCAAACAATCTAAATAAAGATCTCTTTCGCGCATATACTATTTAAATATGAGTAACTTTAAACGAAGAGAACAGACTCCATCAACATATACTTACAATAATGAAAGCGGGCCAGTGTGTGTCACCCAGTCTAGCTACATAGTTTATATAAATATCATAACTACAATTACCAGTAATCACGATTACTTTAATTAATGACTATAATTAATCAACATTTATGATAATTTTCGGAACACAAAAAACATATAGAGCTATGTCGAGTGTTGGGGATTGTTCTGTTAGCGACATTCCATGGGTTAATGTTCTTCAAACGTTTTACACCGGGGAGTTCAGAGAAAATAGAACTTATTTTGCAGACTGGCTGACGACAAAGGCAGAGACCGAAACATGTGTTGTAAATTGAAAGTAAAGGACCCTTTTCCACGCCCTTATGCGTGTAGGGCATATAGGGCTAGACCTATATTTCATCGACCAGTCGGCACAAGATGGGTGATGTGGTCAGCATCACGCCACATACGTAGATACAATTAAATAAATGCTCGTGCCGTCTTAAGAAAGGAGGTTATCTCGGATGTACATAGTGCCTGATGTCTTTAAAAAAAACTATAAAAAAAACTTAGGTGTTGAGCTCTCATGATCTTCCACCGTGCTGCTCTCGTGCCACTCTATGAAAGCCAAAACCAATTCTAAAAAATCGCCTTCGAAAATCCAACCTGGAACGTCGAAGATCGGATTTTGAAACTATTTCACTAACCTCTAATTCAATGATCTAAAATCTAGGGACGTTTGGAAGTTTCAACGCAGGCGTCAAGCAGTTTCGAAATAGAGTCAATATGTAATTGTAATAATCCGGATTTTTAGCTGTAATATTGATGAAAACAAAACAGCGCTGCTAGCCTGATGTGGAGAGTGAATTCCGTTGTGCTTTTTCCAACATGAAACCAAAAATAGCAGATACCAACAGTGTCCACCATCACACTAGTATTTGGACACTAAGCTACCGGTTGCTAGTGATTTTTTTTTTTTGGGGGGGGGGGGGGGGGGTATATATTAGGCGCTGTAATTTATATGTATGTTTTTCTCCAAGTTCTCATTACCATTACTTGAGACTTTATATTTGTGTACCAGTCTTTCAAGCCATATTTTGTTGTGCGAGGGAGGGGTGGCGTGACCTTGTCATATACTCAAGGGGGCCTTTGTGAAAAAAAAAAAAAAAAGCTAGGAATCGCGGCCCTAACATAAGCCATAGAGCTTCACCTAATGAAGATATAATTTGATGCATTAAACATGGTCATATAATTTCAGTATTTAGGTAATGCACCATCTGCTGCATAGAGGTTATTGAGGTGGCCACATAGGCATGGGCATTTACAGCTGGCTCTTCAGACAGAACAGTTAAGGAAGCCAGCGGTGCCTTCTCCATGACCACCAGCAGCATGACGATGGAGGTGATGGCGGTGACACAGGCTTTCATGTGGCTGGGATCACAGGACTATTCCCGCATGTGTGTTCTGAGTGATTCTTAACAGCATTATCCGGCGTGTCGAGTCAGGCTGGTTAAGCAGACAGTGGTTTGAGTCGTTGCAAAATTCTCCTGTGTGTGCAGTTACTTTCATTTTCGTCCCAGGGCATGCAATTTTGTTGGTAATGAGAGAGCTGATAGTGGCAGGTGCTGCATTAAGTGAAGATGGCCGCCCTATGGATCACGCAGACATTTTTATTGCCCTCAGAGAGTTAGGACGTTCTGAGGATTTTGGAAGCAACGTTTCCACATCACTGCTAAGCATGAGAAGCACACTACTGGACGCACACGAAGTCTTGTTAACCAACATAGGTTCTGTACTATTAACCGCACAATGCTGATGAATAGGTTGGGAGGGGAATCTGAGCGCCTATGGATGTGTCCGAAGTGCTGTGAAGATAATCTAACTCATAACTCAGGTGGCTGCAGCATTGTTTCTGATAGGTAAAGCGCTGCAATAACCCTAATTTGACTTCCCTAATTGGTTATTACCAAAAATGCCTATACTTCTGCAGCTGCACTGTCGCGTGCGGCGTCTCATTTGTTAACAGCAAGGAGCACAGGTTGAAGAGACCTATTGATTAGGTGTTCGCCTGTGAATCCAAAGGTAGGTCCGCTGGTTCAAATCTGCATCGAGTCGGGGTTTTTTTTTTTTTAAAGAAAAAGAATGGTTGACCCAGTTGTATAAAGGTACCAGGTAAAGTAATTGGATCTAAAGCGGCCAGCGTGATGCTGACCACACTACCCGTTGAGTTCCGATAGGGTTACAAAATGTAGGTATAGCACTACATGCACAATACAAGATTCCTTGCTCTAATTTAGTTTACAGGTTGAAGAACACTTGTGTAAATGCCAGCTTCGTTGAGGCTTGGCTGCGCCAATCGCGCCAGATCTGAGCAATAGGAAACATCAACGAACTCAGCATAGGGGGAAAACGTGTAGGGGCTTATTACGATTCTTTTACTGTAAATTACACATAGGGAGTGAGCTGGGAACTAGATTTATGGCCATGTTTGCAGACTGCAGACTGGGTAACCCTGGATCCGTGAGTCAACAGGTTGGCAATGTTCACGATTACAGGAACGTGTCCCTGTGGGGTAAGGATGGTTTTTGTTCCCTAAGAGAAAAGTACCGCGGGTACTTACCAAAGAGTGTCTAAAAGGGTATAGGTACTCATCACTGGTATATATTACAGTAGGACTAAAATAAATGATGCCTAAAAAGGAGCCGGTACTGTGTACTGTTACGTAGCACCAGAAAACAGCCCTGGTTGTAATAGGCTTGAGTTAAGTAAGACATAACTTGATGGGAGTTCACTCTAAAGGTGAAGTCACAGAAAGACACACTGCAGTGGGGTTCTCTATGAGGATGAAGTGACTGGAAGACATAATACATGAGAGTTCTTGGTGAGAGAGACATGACGAGCATACACAATACATGGGAGTTCTTGATGAGGATGAAGTGATGGGGAGACACAATGCGTGGGAGTTCTTGATGAGGATAAAGTGACTGGAAGACATAAGACATGAAAGTTCTTAATAAGGATGAAGTAATAGGGAGGTACAATACATGAGAGTTTTTGATGAGGATGAAGTGACGGGGAGACACAATACATGGGAGTTTTTTTTTGAGGATGAAGTGATGGGGAGGTACAATACATGGGAGCTCTTGATGAGGATGAAATGACGGGGAGACACAATACATGGGAGCTCTTGATGAGGATGAAATGACGGGGAGACACAATACATGGGAGTTCTTGATGAGGATGAAGTGATGGGGAGACACAATACATGAGCGTTTTTTATGATGATAAAGTTATGGGGAGACACAATGCGTGGGAGTTCTCGATGAGGATGAAGTGACTGAAAAACACAATACATGGGAATTCTTATTGAGGATGAAGTGATGGGGAGGTACAATACATGGGAGTTCTTGATGAGGATGAAATGACGGGGAGACACAATACATGGGAGTTCTTGATGAGGATGAAGTGACGGGGAGACACAATACATGGGAGTTCTTATTGAGGATGAAGTGACAGGGAGACACAATACATGGGAGTTCTTGATGAGGGTGAAGTAATAGAGAGACACAATACATGGGAGTTCTTGATGAGGATGAAGTGACGGGGAGACACAATACATGAGAGTTC